ACCCAAAAGGTATTCTTCGAAAAGAAAAAGTATCATAAGGATGTGTAAATGTTATCTTTTTCTTGATCCTCAAGAGCTATAAGTATTTGATGATACCCAGAATATGCATCTTGAAAGCAAAAATATGGATGACCAACTAGCATATCCAACATCTGATCTAGAAAGTTTAAATGAAAGTGATCTTTCTTAGTGGTAGAACTTAATTTTCTATGGTATAGACATACTCACCACCCAGTGATAGGTCTAGTTAGAATTAGTTCATTTTGTTTCAATTAACTAATTCATCCTTAGTGGTTACTTTCACTCATCCTTTCTTAGAAACACAATGAATAAGGCTAACTCAGACACTATCAGATATAGAATAAGTAATACCTGCATTGAGCCATTTCAATATTTACTTTTTGGCAACATCTTTCATAATTGGATTTAATTTCCTTTGAGGATTTTCTTAGGATTCATGATCATCTTCCATCAGGATTCTATGCATACAAATACAGGGATTAATACCCTTTGTATCTGTTATGGTCCATCTGAAAGATTTTCTTATAATTTCTTAAAATATCCATTAATTTATTCTCTTATAAATGATTCAAATATGAAGATATGATAACTGTCAATGTAGATGACTTCCTAAAGTACGCATACTTTAAGTGTGTGAGAAACACCTTCATCTCAAGTTCAAGAAGTTCCTCAACAGAAGGAAAAAGACTTAATATTATTAGTTGTATCTAAAATCTCAGACCTCTCTTGAACAAAATTTGAATTTTCAGTAATCAATATGTGTAATTCATCCTGAAATTCTATGTCTCCCTCATTATCCAACTTGACTCTATTGATTTAACTTCATAACTTCCTCAAAAATGGCTACTGCACAAATAATCGATTAACTCCATCTGTAAACATACATATTCATTTCCCTTGGAAGGATATTTATTTCATAGATTTTAATTTAAGACATTAAATGTAACTTCTTGATCATTTACTCTCATAGTTAATTCACCTTTTTGCATATCTATCATAGCTAATCTTGTGGCTAGGAAAGGTCCACTTAAAATAATTGGAATTTCTTTATCTTCTTCCATATCTAACAAAATTAAATTAATATGGAAGCTAACTTTATCTACCTTGACTAAAATATCTTCTATAACCCCATTGGAAAAGTGATCAATCAATTAGCTAATTGAAGGGTTACAGTAGTAGGAGACACTTTTCTTAATCCTAACCTTCTGAAGATAGATAATGACATAAGGTTTATACTTGCTCCAAGATCGCATAAAGCTTTTCCAAAAAATCTTTCTCTTATTCCATAAGGAATAGTAAAGCTCCCAAGAACCATAAGTTCTAAGAAAGCTTCTTCTGAATGATAACACTACACTTTTCACTAAGTACAACTGTATCATAATCTTCAAACTTTCTCTTCTTGTTTTGAAAATTTTTCATGAACTTTACATAACTCGGTAATTTCTCCAATGTCATGGCAAAATGAATATTAATATTTAGCTTCTTAAATACTTCCAAAATTTTGAAAATTGCTGATCCAACTTTAGTTGTTTGAGTCTTTAAGGAAATATAGGTGGTATTTTTCTAAGTTAATCTTAATTGAAGAGATTTGTTTTTCTAAGCCTTTAAATATTCTCCAAAGGTTTTTAAGTTTCCACAGTATCCTTTTCAACATCAATCTCTTTTCGAACTACATCCTCCAACTCTCTTCCACTTCTTAATTGGACAACTTTTACATGTTCACAATACTTCTCCTTAGGGTTAATCTTAGTGTTGCTAAGAAAAGTTCTTTGGGGTCGATTGTTAGCAATCTGTTCCAATTGGATCCCTATGTTTCTTATTGTTGCACCTTGGCTTTGCAGTTGATACCTCATCTGCAATACAACCCCCTCTTAAGACAACTTCTTTTCCTTAAATTGTGAGTTAGATTTAAAACTTGGAGGATAAAAAGGTCTATAGTTGGTACTACCCTGGTTATTCCAATTTTCTAAAGGATTTGCTTGATTATTTCCCCCATTGTTAATTTTAATAATTAGAATTATTATTCCAATTAAAGTTAGGATGGTTTTTCCTACATGAGTTATATAAATTAAAATAAGAGTTTTTAGGTTTATTGTTAATTTCATTTAAGGTTTCAAATGATGAAGTACGAGCATAAAAAATTTGCCCAAATTAATTTTCCTCAATTACTAGATGTACTTGAGGTTGGTTCATACCAAATTAATCTAATTTTCTTGATATTGTTGTTCCATGAAAATTTAGAATTGACACACATTAGTAAAATGCATGCTAGTTACCTTCCTAGAGTTTATTCTCTTGGAAGGCCATTGGAAATTATTCATGGCCATCTCCTCATTAGAGAATAATCATCATAAAATGGCTTACACATGAGTGAACCACTAGTGGAAACATCAATAATAAATCTAAGGGATCATACTAAATCAATGTAAAAAGTCTGGATAATTAACCAATCGGGTAGAGCATGATGTGGAAACTTTTTAAGAAGTCCCTTAAATCTCTCCCATGCCTCATAAATTGAGTCACATTCTAATGATAAAATGAAGTAATATCATTCCTAAGTTTAGCAGTTTTAGAAGGTGGGAAATACTTAGCTAGAAATTTTTGGGCTAAGTCACCCCAAGTCCTAATCGATCCAGGTGCTAATGAGTTCAACCATAATTTAGGCTTATTTCTTAAGAAAAAGGGAAAAAAGACTAAATCTAACAATACCATTTGACACGTAATTATAATGAAATGTAGCAAAAATTTCTAAATAACTTGCTAAGTATAAATTTGGATCCTCAGACAGGGTTTCCCTAAATTGGTTATTCTGCACCATTTGGACAATAGCAGGTCTCAATTCAAATGTGTTAGCTTCTACAATAGGAGTTTGAATATTTAAGTGAATTTCATCAATCGTGGGAATTGTGTAATCCCTTAATGTCTATCAGCGTTATGATAATCATTATTTGGTATTTGGTTATCTAAATTGTTTTATTAAATGTTCTTCATTTATTCTACAAGTTTGTGAAAGACATTTTATTTTCTAATTTTTCTAATAGTCCTCTCTAATTTTGAATTATAGGGCACAAGTCTTACAAGTCATGCACTATGCATTCACTAACTAAAAACTAACTAGTAAAATTATCACAAACACATAAAAAAAAACTCAAAATTAACTTTTTTTTCAAATTTAATTTTTTTTCTTTTTCTAACAAACAAACACTTTCAAAATAAAACTATAGTTTGAATTTCCAAATTTTAGTCTAATTAATTCAACTAAAATTCTGCTAAGTTTAACTACACCGTAACTCCCTGACAATGACACCAAAAACTTGATCGACCCCACACAAATTCAGGTGCTCTAATACTCTTGGGTCTCTAGCAAGTATACGTGTCATCTCAGCAATATATTATTTTTTAGTCCAGAATGTCGATGCCACAGGGAGTGAGAGAATTAGACTTAAGAGATATTCTAGCCTATTAGGATTAGTTCTTAGCCTTGATTCTAAATTAGGTTAAAGCTGTACAAAGTAATTATACAATAGTGCAATCAATTTTAGATGTTGAATCCTATAGAAATCCTACTTAGCTTAATTGGATTGGTGAATATCAAGATAAAGAGTTAGCCTCCCTTGTAATGGAATAAGTGTTGTGTAGGAATAAAATACTTAAAATTATTATTGTTGTAAATGATAAATAAAAGCAATTCTCTTCTTTACCCTCTCCCGAGTGTATAAAGAAGTTTGGTTAAACTAGTTTTAACCCAATTTGAACCCGTCAAAGATTATTTTCCTATCTATTTGCATTGCCCTTAAGACTACTTTTCCTTCACCCAATAGCTAAATGTGAATACTCTAAACGTTCCTCCATAACTCTCCCGAGTCATTATGGATCACAACATGTTTTAACTAATCATTTGACTAGAGTGAAAAGTAAATTAAGCATAGAAGAATACTCATCATATTAGAAATTTAAAACCAATTCTAAAATCATCCTACAATCATACACATCCAAATTATTCATCTCATGAGAAAGATACAAAGAAACTACTCACAATGCATGAAAAAAACACCACAAATCATCTTTTGAAATAAATGCAAATCCACTTAAATTGTGTTTACAAATACTACAATACAAAATAGAACACAATACTTAGTTTTTCCCCTACAAAAACTGATGAGGAATCCTCCACAAAGGATCCCCAACTGCCTCCTACAATGCTGAGTATCTCCCTTACATAATCTCCCTCCAATCCCTTTCCAAATTCTCATTAAACAACAAATAAAACAACCCAGTCACAAGACTCCAACCCTAAACTCTCCTTAGACTTTTTCCCTGAAGTTTAGAAGTCTGCCTTATGTCTTCTCTTCTTCCCACAAGTCCAAGGAACCACATATATCCATTTTTTAACTCTCGGGGCGTGTACAACAACTTCAAAAAAACTGTCCAACAGTTGTTGGCGCCTAGACACCAAGCTCTCTGCCTGTCCGGTAGGAACTGAAGCCTAGGCTCCCTAGAAGATGGTGCCAAGGCACTCGGGTGTAGTGTTTGGCGCCTAGGTTTGTATTATAATATTTCAATAACACCGCAAAATAATCGAATAACACCAAATAACACTCGAATAACACTTCATTTTTTACAAATAATACTGATGAAATATTTTTATAACACAGTGAAATATTCCAATAACACAGCTATGATTAGAAATCGAACGTATCTCTACACTCAGAAATATGTGCAACTAACAGTAGGACAAGGAATTGTAATAAAAGGGAACGAATAAGAGACTGTAAAGCAGGAAAGCATAAACGAAGGAGAAAATGTGGGGCGGACGCAGGTGGTGGGCTCCCCGGCGGCAAAAAGGTTTCACAAACCTAACCTTCCCCCCTGCTACAAATATCTCCCCTTTCCCTCTTCTTCTCCACACAGCCCGTTCATTTCACGCGAGAATCCACTCCTACTCCTGCTCTCTAGCACTTCTCTTACTTTCTCTTTCTCCCTCAAGAAAGAGAGGAGAAGGAGGAGAATCTGTTTCCGTTTTTCTCCACTGTGACTTACAAGTGTTACATCTTCATCCCCCCGCCGACAATATTTTAAAAAAAAACTGATTTTTCTTCATACGTACGTAGAAAGAGATCTATAGACTCAAAAAAGTTGGAATTTTGATTCAAAGAGATGTCAGTTACAGTTTGCCGCGCAGCCCTGGTGGCAAGCTCTTGGTTGTCAGAAATGGTGAAACCGCCGCAGCCAACCAAATCAGCAATGGAGAGCGAGGTAATGGCGGAGAAGAAAAGATTCAATATCCGGAACTCAATCCAGACGAACGAGGAGAACAACACCTCGGCACTTCCGCCTCCATACATCCATCCCCTAGTGCGGCGTTCAGCAATCCTAATGAGCCAGAATAGCCTGGAGATCTGCACTGAAACCCTCGGTTCCGAGACTGGCTCCGATGAATTCACCTCATGCGATGAATTAGATTCCTGCATCAAAACAGAGAATGTGAACGAGGAAGCAGAGGATGAAAATGAATTACAGAACATGCAGACTGAAAAAAAGGACCTTTCTTATGTGAACTACCACCGTTCCATTGGCCGTCGATCGCAGCTCCGAACATTCCCTCCTCCTCTCCCCTCTATCTCCCGTCGCAACGGCCCCTGTTTCAAGTTGCAACCTCACCGGCGTGATGGCCGTCTCGTCGTCGAAGCTGTACCAGTCTCTTCCGTTAACTATCTCCAAGCCGAGCGCCGTGGTGGCCGTCTTGTCCTCTCATTTATTGACTCCTCCCCAAGAAAAAACTCGACCTTTCCCACCCCTGTTCAACAATCAGAACAGAACATAGATGTTGAAATAGAGAGAGGAGTGATGATGGAAGAGGAGCAGGAGGAGGACGAGGAGGAGGAAGTGGAAGTCTTAGACAGGGGAACTATAGTTGAAGTGAAAGTGAGCAAGCAGGCGGCGGCTAAACCCCACCGCTCGTCTCTCGTAATCAACAAGTTCGTTGTTGGCTCGCGGGTGGCGGAGTACATTTCACCAGTAACGGAGATGGAGAAAGCCGAAGCGCGAGGCCCCCACCAGGACGGCGGCAGCTGCGGCGGTTGCTGCGGCGGCAGTGAGCACGTTGACTTCGACGACAGAGGGGTTCCGATTCAACTATCTTAGTGAGCGCCAGAACAGGAGGTGGGGAACCCACTCAACGTCGGCTGCGGCGGCGACGGAAGCGAAGCTGTTGTTTACTTCGAGGAGGAGGAACAGGGAGGAGTTGCTTCATGATATGCGGCGGTGCAGCGAGCTCCGGCGGCCGCTGTTTATATTCGAGCAGCCTCCCTGCATTGCCACGTAATGAGCATATGCTGACCGTCCATGCAAGTCAGTTGTCCTTAGATATGATGGGCCCAACAAAGGTCAAAACATTGTGTTATGATGTTAGTATTAGGTACACTACAGGTGTGTGCTAGACACCTAATTTTGTGATGAAGCAGTTTACTTTGATTTCTGATTATATTTCAGCCTCGCATGAAGTGTTTGGTTTAGCCCTATTTAATTGAATCATTTTCATGTTTAATTTTCAAAATATAATATTGGAAAGGTTTGACTTTATATTCCCATGTTGTTGGAATTTATAAAACTATGCCTGTTGTTTAATTTCTTAATTGGAATTTACAGGTGCCACATAATTCTTATCTATTTATTTTTATAATACCAGAAGTTTGATATTTAAACATATAATATGTTTTCATTATAAATTTATGCATGAAATGATATATTTTACTTTTAAGAAGATAGTAGTAGGTATACTTTTTATGTGAAGTTAAACATTTGAGTGGCATGCATGTAAATATGAACATTTAGGCATTCAATATGTAAATATATAAGAATTATGTTGTATCTATATATATGTAAATGCCCCTTCTCTAAAAATATGCTTAAAAGTTGAAAGTCTCCCTCACTAAAACAGTTCATTTTTATTCAAATGGAGGCAAAACCAAGGTTGATGAGCTAGAGGACCATTCAATCTTAAGAGCATTGAGCCCCTTAACTCCGCATCAAGTGATTGCAGAGTGCACTTTCTAATTATGACAAATGTTGGTCTCTCTTAATCATTATCTTTGAATATTAATGATAATTTTTTAAGGTGAAACAACACGAAAACTAGATTTTTAGTGCATAAAATTTTAAGCGTCATTGTTGCTAGAAATTTCTTATGCTATATCTAATTGCATTCAACTTGCAAACCTGAATTAATCATATCAGATCATTCAGAATAACTTTTGAACTATAACTTACGGTCTGTTTGGGCAGCTGTAGCTTATTAAAAAGTTGTTGCGTAAAAGCTGTGTTAGGAAGCTGTTGTGCAATAGCTGCAGTGGAGAAGTTGGGGTGTTTGTTTATTTTTTGTAATTTTACAACAGCTGTGCTGCAATTGTTTCTAAACAAATGAATTTTCTGCCACTATAGTATATTGTTGTTTACAACAGAACAATCATGCTAGCACATTTCGTACTTGAAAGCAAATATCCAGTTTTAATGCTACAAAATATAAACAGACACCTCACTAAACAGTGAAAAACATGAAAATTAAAAAAAAAATACTAACATTATATTAGTAATATGATAATATATTTTTAAAATGCACTTGATTAATGTAACAAGATAATTCATCTACCAGCGAAACTCTCTTTGTCTGATCACTATCGGCAATGGAGACCTCGAACTCATTTGCCTACCGAAGGTAGCTACAACTTTAAGTTCTTCTCATTGTACACCTGTAAAATTGTCTCCCGCAGCTATGTGACTGTTGCAAACCCTACAGAAAAAATTGTAGTCCACAGTAGTAGTATAATGCTCTAGAGGTACCAGAAGTCCTCGAACTCAACTTTTATGAAGGTTTAAAATAACAAAGCACAAACCTTTATATGCAACAATGCAAATACTCAATACAAGTTTTATGAAATTGTGAGGTCTCAGAGAATATAGTATAAACTAATGAATCTGTCACCATAAAAATATAGTAGACCTTATAAAAAAAGTGTTCTTGGTTGCCTTTAAATCACATAATATCAATCATGTCACATATGCATATCACCTCAAAGGACACCCAGAAGAACCTCAACAGTCATACGACTAAAAAAGAGAGGTACTTGGTTGCCTTCACGATGATTGTATATGTGTCAAGAACCAATAGTGACATATAGGTCATCCAGAAGAACTCATAAGGTCAAATATCTTATCATAAACCTCTAAACCAAAAAATAAAATGTGCAATAAAGACTTACATTATATATTATGTCAAATATCTCATCATAAACCTCTAAACCAAAAAAGAAAATGTGCAATAAAGACTTGCATTATATATTATGCCTGTAGTTGTCTCACAGGTCATCCAAGTGGGGCCGAAATACATGCAAAAGAACTTTAAATAGAAGCGCCCTTACATTGAGATTCAAAATGGATATTGTTGTATAAACTGCCTGTAGTTGTCTCACAGGTCATCCAAGTGGGGCAGAAATACATGCAAAAGAACTTTAAATAGAAGCTACCCTACATTGAGATTCAATATGGATATTGTTGTATAAAACACCAGTACAATAAATAATAAACGTTTTCTAACACATTGTAAATAAAGTATCAAAGAAGACACCCATAATTCACTCCAGTCAACCACCAATGATGGAATCCATAATTCAATCTCTCAACTCTATCAGCTACCCTGCACCTTCTCCATCCTGACTGTAAGTTCTAGTCAAGTCACTTTCAGCCTGTGATAAATATTGTCCTAAGTGATATTCATATGCTTCATCATGGGCTTTTGAATGATCTTCACTAGCCTTATTGAAGTCAATATCATTGCATGAAGAAGGTTGTTGATTGTAGTTGTAGAGATCCCTTCTGAAAACCAAAATTTACACTCGTTTTTGAAACAGACAAGTTGGCATATGCCAAAATGACCCATTTTTTCTTCAAAACTCCAAGCGTCCTTTCAAGGACACCTCATAAGGATGAGTGGCACTTTTTAAACATCTCTTTCCTACCCTGAGTGACATTGCCGACTCATTAAAGATCAGTAATGTGGTTTTTAATATCAAGAAATGGTTTGAGGCACCATCTTTATTAGGAGTATCCAACATCGACCAAATAATATTTATCTGGAAAAAAATATAATAACTAGTATTGCAGTGAAAATACCTTCTAATTTGTTGAAAGTCAAACAAACATGGGGGTGGCAGCTGAGAGTTATATTTCAAGTTCTTGGAAAAGAATTGAATATGTGAGTGTCATGTGTACTATTTCTCAACTGACCATAACAAAAGTAGAGCACATGTAAAGTCACAAATAGTGATATAAATATTGACACCATGTAAAAATAAATATGATATGTTCAACAAATAAAATGATATTTACGAGTCTCGGTTGTCATGAAAATAACATGAATAATTGACCCTGCAGTTATGGGAACTCTCGATGGGTAGGATTATAGAGCAAATTTATAGAGAACAAGTATAATGACGTTTCCTCATAAATTTTTGGACTTGATTCTAGAATTTATATTACTTACTGAATAGAAGTTGCTTGTGATGTGTTAGGGTCATTGGTGCATGATATCATTAAGTGTGGATTTGAATTCTAATGAAAACTACACCAACATTAATCTTTTTCTTGAAGTTCAGGCTGGGCCCTTCATTGGATTCAACTATTTGTTTGACATCTAATTTCTCAGTTATGCCAACAAAGTCTCACTCATTAGAAGCCCATGCAAGATCACCCATTTTCATGACTTCACCAATCATTTGATTCAACTTCTCTTCCAGCACAGGTTCAATGACACGAAATTTAAATTTTATTTTCATTTGACACTTACTATAAAGGAATGGGAGACTGATTTGTTGACGTCTCTAAAGAAAAAAAATTTGAAAAAAACTGCATATGTTTCATAAATTCTCACCTCCAATTTCTCGGTCAACCATTCTTCTAAAACATTAATAGTTCTCTTTATCGGATCTCAATCCAAGCCTGTGAATCCTCGTTTCAATTCATTCCAAAGTTTCCAGCCCTTTTTTAATTGATCCCATTTGATTTCAATTGCATTCTATCACATTCCCTTCTAATGCTTTTCTTAAATCCTTTTATAATTTTTTGATAGCCTGCCATGTTAAAATAGATTATTGGTCTATTTCTCAAATCGATCTCCTTAAGGTAGAGGTATTAGTTTAAAATTTTTTTCCCACATAACAGAAGAATTGATTTATTTTGTCGTAACCATTGTGATACTAACATAAAAAGAACTAGTCAACTTAAATATTTTCCATAAAAAAACAAAAAGTATCATTTAAGATACCACAAATCAAAGAA